CTGAGGATCGGTAATGGTGTCTTCTATGAGAAGGGGCCTAAAGGCCTGGATTCGGCGGCTCTCGCTTCTGCTCATCACGTTCTGGGAGGCGGGGAGCGGCCAGCTCCACTACTCGGTCCCCGAGGAGGCCAAGCACGGCACCTTCGTGGGCCGAATCGCGCAGGACCTGGGGCTGGAGCTGGCGGAGCTGGTGCCGCGCCTGTTCCGGGTGGCGTCCAAGGACCGCGGGGACCTTCTGGAGGTGAATCTGCAGAATGGCATTTTGTTTGTGAATTCTCGGATCGACCGGGAGGAGCTGTGCGGGCGGAGCGCGGAGTGCAGCATCCACCTGGAGGTGATCGTGGACAGGCCGCTGCAGGTGTTCCACGTGGAGGTGGAGGTGAAGGACATTAATGACAACCCGCCAGTATTTCCAGCGACCGCAAAGACCATCCGGTTTCACGAATCGAGGCTGCTTGACTCTCGGTTTCCTCTAGAGGGAGCATCTGATGCAGATATTGGAGTCAACGCTCTTCTCTCCTACAAGCTCAGCTCCAGTGAGTTTTTCTTTCTTGATATACAGACAAATGATGAACTAAGCCAGTCTTTGTCTCTCGTCCTGGGGAAATCTCTGGACAGAGAGGAAACTGCCGAGGTTAATTTGTTACTGGTGGCTACTGATGGGGGCAAACCTGAGCTCACAGGCACCGTTCAAATACTTATTAAGGTATTAGATGTGAATGACAACGAACCTACTTTTTCCCAATCAGTTTACAAAGTAAAATTGTTGGAGAATACCGCAAACGGGACGTTAGTAGTTAAAGTAAATGCTTCGGATGCAGATGAAGGATCAAACAGCGAGCTTGTGTATTCACTCAGTAGCGATGTGTCTTCCACTATACAGACCAAGTTCAAAATAGATCCCAGATCAGGGGAAATCAGAACTAAGGGAAAATTAGATTACGAAGAAGCAAAATTCTACGAAATTCAGGTCATTGCAACTGACAAAGGAACCCCGTCAATGTCAGGGCATTGTAAAATTTCATTAAAACTTGTGGACGTCAATGATAACACCCCAGAAGTCTCAATAACGTCTCTCTCACTTCCCATCCCAGAGAACGCTTCACTGGGCACCGTCATCGCTCTCCTCACAGTGTCGGACCGCGACTCTGGTGCCAACGGGCAGGTGACCTGCTCCCTAACGGCCCACGTGCCTTTCAAGCTTGTGTCCACCTTCAAGAATTACTATTCGCTGGTGCTGGACGGCGCCCTGGACCGCGAGAGCATATCCGACTACGATCTGGTGGTGACGGCGCGGGAGGGTCGCTTCGCTGTGGGCCACGCCAGCGTGTCCGTGGGAGTGGCCGCGTGAAGACAACGCGCCGGCCTTCGCGCGAGCCCGAGTACCGGTGTTCGTGAAGGAGAACAACCCGCGGGCTGCCACATCTTCACGGTGTCGGCGCGGACGCGGACGCGCAGGAGAACGCGCGGGTGTCGTACTCGCTGGTGGGCGGCGGGTGGGCGAGCGCGCGCTGTCGAGCTAGTCGGTGCACGCGGAGAGCGGCAAGGTGAGCGTTGCAGCGCTGGACCCACGAGGAGCTGGAGCTGCTGCGGTTCCAGGTGAGCGCGCGCGACGCGGGCGTGCAGCTCTGGGCAGCAACCTGACGCTGCAGGTGTTCGTGCTGGATGAGAATGACAACGCGCCAGCGCTGCTGGCGCCTCGGGCTGGCAGCACGTTTGGCGATGTGACCGAGGTGGTGTCGCGGATGGGGCGCGGGCCACGTGGTGGAGGTGGCGCGGGTGGACGCGGACTCTGGCTACAACGCGTGGCTGTCGTATGAGCTGGAGCCAGGGCGGGAAGGCCGCGCGCGCCCTTGCCAACGCGTGGGGCCTGTAGCAGCGGCGGATCGCACGAGGCGCCCGCTGACGAGTCGGACGGCCGCGCGGCCTGTGGTGTGGTGAGGGACCACGGGGAGCCAGGCTGCACGCCACGGCCACCGTGCTCGTGTCGCTGGTGGAGGGCGCCCAGCACCAAAGCTTTCGCGGCGTTGGCGCGTGTGCTCCGAGGCCTGGGGATGTCACGTAGTACTTTCATCGCATCTGCCGGTGTCAGCCTGTGGTGCTCACGTGCTGCTGTACACGCGCTGGTGTGGGAGCCCAGCGAGGCGGTGCGGGCGGGACCAGGCTGTGTGCTCCAGCGGTGGGGCTGGTTCCCCTCGCAGCGGGCGCAGGGTGTGCTCTGGGAGGTCTGCCAGGCGATCAGTATGCCTTCGCCAAGCCTTCTCAGTCCAGACTCGCAGAGAGAAGACAAAGCCTCGATGGACTGTGCTCAGAAAGGTGAGCATTTTAATGTTTCTTGCAAATCTAGAATGTTTATTTCTTGTTTTTATGTTATTTTTTTGCATATAGCTCTTTGTTTTGGCGTTTATCTTATGATATTGGGTTTATAGGATCCATTTTTTTGGATCAATTTCTGCATTTTCTAACAATTTACTTGAATGTTTTCTTATTTTACTTTGGCTTTTCATATAACGTTCTTATAATTTAAGACTTAGTGAAAACCACTTTAGGAAATTTGAGGTTAAATTAAATTATTTTTCTCTTAATTTTATAAAATTCACATTGGAAAAAATTTCAAGAATTTGATTTATTTATTTTTCAATTTACCCATCGTATCCATTCTGCCAGACTATGTTTGGAGTAATGTTTTTTATTTTGACATTTCTTAGTGGTCTTTGACAAGATGCATTTCTTTTGTCTGTTTATGTGACTTTATATTCTTTCTTTGTTTGTTTGAAGCACTGATTAATTTTGTGATCTTCAAGTTTTATTACGTCTTACAACCGTGACAGATAGCGCTTTGGTAATTGTTGTTAAGTATGTTTTAATAGTCATAACTTGTTTTTGTACAGGACTTCACACTGGAAAGTCTTTGTTTTCAGGAAATACAGGTTTTGAGAAGGTTTGTTCGAGTTTTAATCAGAATCTTAACATTAATCATTGGAGTGTGGGTGGTGGACTTTTTCTTCATAAGTGGGATACTTCTAACCAGTTCCTTATGATTAATGCTTGTCTCTCCTTCCGTTCAGATATTAGGTTAATGTATGACGTCCCACTGTGCAGATTGGCATTCTCTGCCACCTTAATTCTAATGACTGGATTATATTGTCCGTCATTGTGAGCTCATATTTTCATGGCTCTTCCCTAATGAGTTCAAGTTTCAAGTAGTCATTATATGATTTTTATTGAAAAATTTCTGTGTTGTTTAAAACATGAACTTGACAATAAAGTACACTTGGAAACTTTTTTTTTTTCAACCAGGAAGATGTTTCGGGGAACTGTTACCTATAAAATAGATAAAAAATAAAACATTACACAAATAAATTAAAAAATAATTTGCTGATAATTAAACAAAAAACACATAAAATAAGATGAATAAAAAAAAACAAATGAATCATGAAATAATTCACTATGATTTAGCCTACCATTTGTATTAAACCAGATATCTTCCATCTGGGCTTTATTTTAGAGTTGAAAGTTTGGTGGAATCTGGCTTCCATTAAGGTATTTATTCTGTGGATACGTCTCTAGAGTTGACACTCTTGAATATAGATATTGTTTCTTGAAATCAGAAATGTCATTGAGGCTTTTACACAGAACAAATTTTGGCTTTTGATATGAGGAAGCTCTTCTTGGTGGGGTTCTTCCTATAGAATATGACTGCTGCTTCTAATATTGTGTGCGAAATATGATGTTAGGTGAATCTGTCATACTGGAGTGGCATTTTTTACTGTAGGGTAATGGCTATTTTAAATGATTCCCCTGTGCTGCCTGGTACCATCCCTTGCTCTCTAGTTCTTTTTTTTTCTTTTATTTTTTTCTGGTTAGGTGTACTGAAAGAGATATCAGGTGAATAGACTTTCTAATACCTATCTACACATTGGTATTTAAAAGTATGTTCTGTATTACTTTGTCTCTGTAATAATTGGGTCTTTGTTATTAATTTCATGTGGCATTCCATTTTTAATTAGTAATAATCTAATTAGTGAATTTGTGTTTACATATATTGTCAGGTTCTATTATGAAGTCATAGATGTTTCAATTTTATTTTATCTATTTCACACTAGTACCACTTTCAGTACATAAAGTCACTGTTAGTTTATTCTATATTATTCCTGTCATGACTTGAGAAATAATTTAATGTTTATTATTCTTATGAAACTACATAATGATCGTTATCTGATTCATATAGTTTGATATTTACAAATCTTAAGTAACTTCCTAATTTGCTGAAAATTAATTTATTTCATCTTATTCATAAACACTAATATATTCAGCTTTCTGAATAAGGGTGTAACATGAGGGTAAATTGCAATCTTGGCTTCTTCAATGGTACACCAACAAAATCATGACTTTTTTCCTATATTAATCATACATGTTTGTTTTTTAAATGATTGGCTTAAGAATTTGGATTCTTTTATCTCTCTATTCGCACATTCATGATTTTCTATGCCCCATGTCACATGTCAGAGATCATGCTCTGTGACTCGGATCTTGTAGTATTTTAAATGCCACGTTTTATTGTTGTACTACTTTATTACGTACTTTTCTCTAACTGATGTTTTAGATCACGTTCTTTAGTATAGCTTTGACTGGATGAGATAATATGAGTGGAGATTAAAACAATTTTTTGTGTTGTCACATTTTATAGAGATGTTATGATAAATCTTAATGATAGTGTATGGAAATTAAAAAATTCAATTTTACTTGATGTGATGAATGTACGAATATAAAACACCATAGTGTTGTCTGAACAGGAAACTTACAAGAACTCCTGTAAAAGTCTGACAGTTTTATAATACAGTTAGATTTGCAAGATATGTTCTGAATAGGCAAAGATGTTTATACATTTACAATTAATAACATAGTGAACATATTTTCAGATTGGAAATTGCTTATAACAAAATAACGTAAACTATATGTATATATTTGTTCAACTTTTTCAAATTCTCAATGTCTTGATGGTCATAAATCTCAAAGACTCTAACTTTTCCATAAAATGCAGCCTGGGATGACAAGTGGTTAAAGTACACACAGCATCTTGAATCCAATTGAGATCCCATCCAAACACCACTTGTTAATATCATTTTTACATTACTTGCTTATCCTCTATGTGTTTGTAAAAAGTGAACTGTAGTTTCACCTATCTCAGAGAGTTGTTGGGAAAATTTAATGAGATAATTCCATTAAGACAAATAGAAAAATGACTGTCACATGTGAAGCATTTCCAATAGATATCCACTGTTAGAACAGTAATCAAAATTAATGTTTTACTGTATGCCATGAATCGGCACCATTGAAATTGATGAATTAGTATAGAAGTTCTAAAGAAATCGTTTTGATCAAATATAAAGACTTTGGAAGAAAATTACAACTGAAAATAGAAATTTTGGAAAAGTTCAAATGACATATAAGGAAAAGATATATTTACATATTTAATACTTACACATTTAGCCACATGATGTCGCTGTCCACCACGAGGTCTCTCTCCACAAAAGAAATAGAGCGTGCATTAGGTATTCAGATGTTGCTTTTCTTTATCATCTCTGAAAGATGGTAACGGCGAGGAGTTTAAGAAATGAACAATAAGGAACTCAAATTGTTTTTTTAATTTCGGATCTATGTAAGAGCGACTCAATATTTGGAAAAGGCTTGCAATGTTGTTTTCCTGGCGAGAAGATCCTGGAGCCCGGCGCCTGCTGCTCTCGCTCCTGCTCCTCGCAGCCTGGAGAACTGGGAGCGGCCAGCTCCACTACTCGGTCCCCGAGGAGGCCAAGCACGGCACCTTCGTGGGCCGCATCGCGCAGGACCTGGGGCTGGAGCTGGCGGAGCTGGTGCCGCGCCTGTTCCGGGTGGCGTCCAAGGACCGCGGGGACCTTCTGGAGGTGAATCTGCAGAATGGCATTTTGTTTGTGAATTCTCGGATCGACCGGGAGGAGCTGTGCGGGCGGAGCGCGGAGTGCAGCATCCACCTGGAGGTGATCGTGGACAGACCCCTGCAGGTGTTCCACGTGGAGGTGGAGGTGAAGGACATTAATGACAACCCGCCAGTTTTTCCAATGGCGGTGAAAAATTTGTTTATTTCCGAATCTCGACAGCCTGGCTCCCGGTTTTCGCTAGAGGGCGCATCAGATGCAGATATCGGAACAAATTCATTGTTAACTTACAACCTTGACTCCACTGAATATTTCACCTTGGATGTTAAAAGAAATGATGAGGAAATTAAATCCCTTGGACTTGTGTTGAAAAAACTTTTAAATCGAGAGGACACTCCTAGGCATCATTTACTAATAACAGCAGTTGATGGTGGGAAACCAGAGCTCACGGGTACTACTCAAGTGAAGATCACCGTTTTAGATGTAAACGACAACGCCCCAGAGTTTGAGAGGTCGGTCTACAAAGTTAGATTATTCGAAAATGTACCAAATGGTACCCTAGCGGTAATCGTTAATGCCTCTGATTTGGATGAAGGCGTAAATAAGGACATTGTATATTCTTTCAATACAGACACATCAGCATATATTCTGTCGAAGTTCCACTTAGATCCTGTGAATGGATACATCAGTGTAAAGGGCAACATAGATTTTGAGGAAACTAAGTCATATGAAATCCAGGTAGAAGCGACGGATAAAGGAAATCCACCAATGGCAGATCATTGCACAGTTCTAGTGGAAATTCTGGACGTCAACGATAATGTACCAGAGTTGGTTATCAAATCACTATCATTACCAGTATTAGAAGACTCTCCACTGGGCACAGTCATCGCGCTGATCAGCGTGTCCGACCGCGATTCAGGTGCCAACGGACAGGTCACCTGCAACCTGACGACCCATGTCCCCTTCAAACTGGTGTCCACCTTCAAGAATTACTATTCGCTGGTGCTTGACAGCCCCCTGGACCGGGAGACTGTTTCCGTCTATGATCTGGTGGTGACGGCCCGGGACGGGGGCTCGCCTTCGCTGTGGGCCACCGCCAGCGTGTCCGTGGAGGTGGCCGACGTGAACGACAACGCGCCGGCCTTCGCGCAGCCGATTAACGGTGTTCGTGAAGGAGAACAACCCGCCGGCTGCCACATCTTCACGGTGTCGGCGCGGACGCGGACGCGCAGGAGAACGCGCGGTGTCGTACTCGCTGGTGGAGCGGCGGGTGGCAAGCGCGCGCTGTCGAGCTACGTGTCGGTGCACGCGGAGAGCGGCAAGGTGTACGCGCTGCAGCCGCTGGACCACGAGGAGCTGGAGCTGCTGCGGTTCCAGGTGAGCGCGCGCGACGCGGGCGTGCCGCCTCTGGGAGCAACGTGACGCTGCAGGTGTTTGTCCTGGATGAGAAGAACAAGCGCCAGCGCTGCTGGCGCCTCGGTGTGGCACCGTTGCGCGTGAGTGAGCTGTTGTCCGGTCTGTGGGGCGCGGGCCACGTGTGGGCGAAGGTGCGCGCGGTGGACGCGGACTCTGGTACAACGCGTGGCTGTCGTATGAGCTGGAGCCGCGGCGGGAAGCGCGCGCAGCCCGTTCCGCGTGGGGCTGTACACCGGCGAGATCAGCACGAGCGCGCCCTGGACGAGGCGGACGCGCCGCGCCAGCGCCTGCTGGTGCTGGTGAGGGACCACGGGGAGCCCGCGCTGACCGCCACGGCCACCGTGCTCGTGTCGCTGGTGGAGGGCGCCCAGGCACCAAAGGCTTCTTCGCGGGCGTTGGCGGCGCTGTGGCCCGGAGGCGGCGCTGGTGGATGTCACGTGTACCTGATCATCGCCATCTGGCGGTGTCCAGCCTGCTGGTGCTCACGCTGCTGCTGTAACACGGCGCTGCGGTGCTCGGCGCGCCCCAGCGAGGGCGCGTGCGGGCCGGGCAAGCCCAGGCTGGTGTGCTCCAGCGCGGTGGGGAGCTGGTCACACTCGCAGCAGAGGCGGCAGAGGGTGTGCTCTGGGGAGGGTCTGCCCAAGACCGACCTCATGGCTTTTAGCCCCAGCCTCTCACCCTGTCCAGTTAGCAAAGACAGAGAGGAGCAACAGGATGTGGACATTGATCTCCACGCCAAAGTAAGTAATTTTTCTTTATCCTTTCCAAAATGTCTTTGTTTTTATTCCTCAATGTTTCTAGTCCTGTGGACACAAGTTAATAGTTTCATATGCTGCATTATGTGTTTCATATTTAGAGTTTTTTAGTTACTAGTTTTCTGGTGAAAATTTCACGATATTTGTTACTAATTTTGGAACTGAATCAGCAGTCAGTAGTGAGATCCAAACTTGGCGTAATTGTTGTTAGTAAATGCAGTAGTAGGATTATTTTATTGCTAAATGCCTGGGTACAAAATGAAACTTTTTTCTTGGAGGAATTGCATTATTTAGATAATTTGACTTCAACTTTTGGTGGTCTAATCCCTGCACGATGCTGCAGTATCTTTTGCCACTTTTCACTTGGACTTTCCACTAGATGTAGCACAAATGTCACTGGCCCATTTTATGAGGGCACCCTAAATGCTCACAACTCCCTTTCTATTATGCTTTTCTACCTTCAGTTTCAAATATTAGTTTATTATATTTGTTGTCTTCTATGGAACCAATTTTATTCTCTCATTCATTTGTTTCAAGTCTTAGTCCTTCTCTGCTTGAAAGTGATTAATTTTAGGCATTGCACTCTCATTTGGCAATACTGTTTGTTGTTGGGAGGACGAAATTTCCCAATTGGGGGGAAAAACTAGAATAACAATTATATTTAGAATCCTATCTTTGTTTATCTTCAGGTTCTCCCTATTTTTATTACTAATAACTAAACTATCAATATGAAGGAAAAATTTAATATTCCTGTAGTATATTTAAATATTCTTTTAAAAATAATATTTTAAATCTTAAGAAGTCTCAGAATGAACAATATATTGAAAATAAAACTGTATATCTAATTTTAAAACTATCCCTACTAGCAAATACTTGTTTCATTAGTCTCTTTTGCTAATGTCAAATTGGTTTGATAAATCAGTGCTACTACTGGTGATGTTCTTGAAAATCAATCTGTGCACTAATGTGTGCCATACAGTCAGTGGAAAAGTCCAAATAACTGGCACCAAATAAAATTGAAGTGAGCCTACATTCCAGTCATTCCCCACATGTATTTGGTTATCTCCCCTAGCAAATAGTTGGACTCCCATTCAAGTTTCCTTGTCACTGTGGAGAAATAGTAACCAGCTGAAACCTGAGTAATACTCAATGACATTGTCAGGGGTCTAACAGGGAAAATAGAGAAATACTTTTCTTCACTCCTACATTTATGCACTTCTAATTTTTTTGGCACTACTTTTGCCTTGTCCATGAAATATTAACCACAGTATACCCAACCTCAATTCAATTTTTAAAAATAATTTTGTTATTGTCATCTTGTAAATAATAAGAGTCATCCAAAGTTCTTGTCTTCCCAGATATGGGACTTCAGTCTTCAAATCCAGCTCTCCTTTTGAAATTCTTGTCTAACAATACACTTGCCAAAGACATTTTGAAAACTGGGGTTTTTCTCCTCAGAGCTGTATTGATGCTTTACCAAGTGAATACTGAATAGGTATCAAATAAATATCCATTAATATTCTGTTACATCCCTTATCTATGCATTAAAATGCTTTATCAAATAAAATGAATGGAAATAGAATTCTTTTCACTTTCTTTCAGTGTGCTGGATAACTATGATCATTTTATAAAACTCTAGTTTGGGTCCCCAAACAGTGAAAATACTTTGATTTCTGTTTCCATTCAGTGTGTGTGTGTGTGTGTGTGTGTGTGTGTGTGTGTGTGTGGCTCTTCATAGAGAAGGAGCCTAAAGCTATTTTCACTAACTAGATTGATCTTTTTGTCTAGACAAGCATGATAGAAGTTTATTAGATAAGAGGCAAAGAAAGTTTGAGAATGGCTACCATCATTTATTAAATTTCTTTATGTAGGAAAATGTATTCTGCTCTACTTATTGGGAAATCTTCATTGCCCATTAATATCTAGGTTGATTCAAAGATCATGACTACCAAGAATTGGCACAAAGATTAAGCTAAAACCCAGGGTTTCAACATGGAACTTGACATATATTTTCTTTTTTCTGTTTTTTTTTCTTTTTAGGCCATTTTCTCCTTTAGATTGACATTTATTTTAATTAGGGCAATGTCTAAAGAAAGTCTTTTTGTAACTCTAGAAAATTATAGAGGCTGCTGAACCATCACTTTTTCCTGTCTAGCTATGTGGCTACCTTAAATTAATGCATTTTATTAGGCAATTGAAGAAAACCAAGCCATCTCAATTGGTTAAATATTCAGCAAATACTAGATGAGTAACCCTGAGCCATAAATTACTAAGATACAACTATTCCCTTTTAAATCTATATTTCAAAAGAGGACATACGTACTCAAATGCTTATAAGACAGAGATTGACCTGGATGCTACAGCTTATAAAAGGAGGTAACAATGCCTGTTCCATTGGTTTGATTATGAAATTCTTCATGGGTCAGGGATGTATTACATCGTCATAAAATGGCGGCGGGGGGATTGGTTTATGAAGAGTTTGGAAATGATGTGGGTTACTTAGGCATGGAACGCAGTGAGTATGTTTGTTTAGTAAAAAAATGTTCCTGGAAGCAGGAAATTATCCAGTTTGACTAAAATATATGAGCACTATAGGAAAAAATAGAAGCTTAGGCATACTACCTATTGGAGAACAAGCAGGTACTTATAAAGCATAAGAGTGAAAATGAGAATATCAACTTTGCTCTTTGGAGTGAATGAGTTTAAATGAATAAAATTATTTGGAATACTTTTTCACGCAAGCAATTTACTACAACTTCCTGCTTCCTTGCACGTTCAGCCCTTTCATGAATCAAGGAATGCTATCAATTCAGTGCCAATGGTCTTTGATTCCTTTTTAAAACACCTGTAAATTTCCCTTTCAATGGTTTGTTCTTGGGATTAGAAGTTTTCTAGAGACCAGTCCCCATAAGTCTACAACACCAGAAATAAAAACCCAAGGGTGAAGAGGATGTCATCATTAACAACCACCTCTGGTATTCTTGAAAACACAAGGAATCTTTCATGAATTTTTCCAATCAATACTTTACAATTGTATACGCTTTACAAAGTGTATATTAACTACAGTTGAATCTCTGTAATACTTAAAACCTGTATGAAAAAAGAATTTCCACTCGAGTAAAAGCTGCCCTTGTGGTGAAACTAAGGATCATACTCAATGAATCAGTGGTATAATCTGTACCTTAGGAGTACAAAATATATCCTATTCTCCAAAACAGCTGAAAGAATAAATAAGACCTAGCAGTTTATAGTCGAGTGTAGATTTCCAGAGTCGATACTTACTGTTTGGAGCCACATGATGTCGCTCTTTACCATAAAATAGATCTGACAGCAGAAAGAAGGTGGAAAAAAAAATTCCTTCTATTCATACTGGAAAGAGCTTGTGTAGACGATCCAGAGTCTGAAAAATGGAGGATGCAGCGGCACTTGACTGACCGATTAGATTTCTCGTGATTTTGAGACACGATATCGAATCAGAACAGAGCCTTGTGCACTTGAGATGGAATTTTCCTGGGGAAGCGGCCAGGAATCCCGGCGCCTGCTGCTCTGGCTTCTCCTCGCAGCCTGGGAGGCGGGGAGCGGCCAGCTCCACTACTCGGTCCCCGAGGAGGCCAAGCACGGCACCTTCGTGGGCCGCATCGCGCAGGACCTGGGGCTGGAGCTGGCGGAGCTGGTGCCGCGCCTGTTCCGGGTGGCGTCCAAGGACCGCGGGGACCTTCTGGAGGTGAATCTGCAGAATGGCATTTTGTTTGTGAATTCTCGGATCGACCGGGAGGAGCTGTGCGGGCGGAGCGCGGGGTGCAGCATCCACCTGGAGGTGATCGTGGACAGGCCGCTGCAGGTGTTCCACGTGGAGGTGGAGGTGAAGGACATTAATGACAACCCGCCTGTGTTCCCAGCGACACAAAAGAATCTGTTAGTCGCGGAATCCAGGCCTCCCGACTCTCGGTTTCCACTAGAGGGCGCCTCGGATGCGGATATCGGGGAGAACGCCCTGCTCACTTACAGACTGAGCCCAAATGAATACTTTTCGCTGGAAAAACCATCCGACGACGAGAGGGTAAAAGGTCTTGGGCTTATACTAAGGAGATCTTTAGACAGAGAAGAAACTCCAGAGATTTTTTTAGTGCTCACGGTCACTGATGGGGGCAAACCCGAACTGACTGGCACCGTTCAGTTACTCATCACGGTACTGGATGCCAATGACAATGCCCCAGTTTTCGACAGGAAACTCTATAAAGTGAAATTACCAGAAAATGTCCCTAATGGAACGTTGGTAGTTAAACTCAATGCCTCAGATTTAGACGAAGGCTTGAATGGGGACATTATTTATTCATTCTCCAGCGATACTTCACCGAACGTGAAATCCAAGTTCTACTTAGATCCAGTTACTGGACAAATTATGGTAAAAGGATATATTGATTTTGAAGAAAGCAAATCCTATGAAATTATTGTAGAAGGCATTGATAAGGGACAGCTCCCACTGTCTGGCCATTGTAGAGTTATTGTGGAAGTAGAAGACAACAATGATAATGTCCCAGATTTGGAATTCAAGTCCCTATCACTTCCAATCAGAGAGGATGCTCCGCTGGGTACAGTTATTGCACTGATCAGCGTGTCCGACCGGGATTCAGGGGCCAACGGGCAGGTCACCTGCACCCTGACGTCTCATGTGCCCTTCAAACTGGTGTCCACCTTCAGGAATTACTATTCGCTGGTGCTGGACGGCGCCCTGGACCGCGAGAGCATATCCGACTACGATCTGGTGGTGACGGCGCGGGACGGGGGCTCGCCTTCGCTGTGGGCCACCGCCAGCGTGTCCGTGGAGGTGGCCGACGTGAACGACAACGCGCCGGCCTTCGCGCAGCCCGAGTACACGGTGTTCGTGAAGGAAAACAACCCGCCGGGCTGCCACATCTTCACGGTGTCCGCGCGGGACGCGGACGCGCAGGAGAACGCGCGGGTGTCGTACTCGCTGGTGGAGCGGCGGGTGGGCGAGCGCGCGCTGTCGAGCTACGTGTCGGTGCACGCGGAGAGCGGCAAGGTGTACGCGCTGCAGCCGCTGGACCACGAGGAGCTGGAGCTGCTGCGGTTCCAGGTGAGCGCGCGCGACGCGGGCGTGCCGCCTCTGGGCAGCAACGTGACGCTGCAGGTGTTCGTGCTGGATGAGAACGACAACGCACCAGCGCTGCTGGCGCCTCGGGGTAGCAGCGGTGTTGGCCTAGTGAACGAGCTAGTGTCGCGGTCTGTGGGCGCGGGCCACGTGGTGGCGAAGGTGCGCGCGGTGGACGCTGATTCTGGTTACAACGCGTGGCTTTCATACGAGCTGCAACCGGCGGCTGACGGTGCGCGCAGCCCGTTCCGCGTGGGGCTGTACACCGGCGAGATCAGCACTACACGCGCCCTGGACGAGGTTGACGCGCCGCGCCAGCGCCTGCTGGTGCTGGTGAAGGACCACGGGGAGCCCGCGCTGACCGCCACGGCCACCGTGCTCGTGTCGCTGGTGGAGAGCAGCCAGTCTCCCAAGGCCTCTTCGCGGGCGTTGGCGGGCGCTGTGGACCCGGAGGCGGCGCTGGTGGATGTCAACGTGTACCTGATCATCGCCATCTGCGCGGTGTCCAGCCTGCTGGTGCTCACGCTGCTGCTGTACACGGCGCTGCGGTGCTCGGCGCCGCCCAGCGAGGGCGCGTGCGGGCCGGGCAAGCCCAGGCTGGTGTGCTCCAGCGCGGTGGGGAGCTGGTCACACTCGCAGCAGAGGCGGCAGAGGGTGTGCTCTGGGGAGGGTCCGCCCAAGGCCGACCTCATGGCCTTCAGCCCCAGTTTACCTGACTCTAGAGACAAAGATGATCAACCGCAGGCAACTGGGGAATCCCTTGCAAAGGTTAGTTTATAATATCTTTTCTGTTTAATTTGGATTTTTGTAGTTTTTCCTCTATCAACTTTCTCAGCATTTTATTTTATAGAATCAAATTTGTCTAGGTCAAAATTTTACGTATTCATTTTAACTAAACTCTTTGGGAATTATAGGACATCAAAACAATATATATTGCCTTCTTTTTGTGTTTCATTATTCAATACATATTCATGCATATTACTGCACTTTCTAGTAAATTTTGTGTCTGATATTTTTACCTCATTTATTTTCTGTGATAATCAACTTTTTAGGAGATGATTTTTTATGTCAACCTACATACACAAACGCGCTATAATACATACACAAACGCGCTCAGACAGAAATAATATAGCTCAATCAATGTCTGAATGTGAACAACTCTGTTATCTTCATCTCTGAAGCCTCTCTCATGCACCTGCCCAATCACTTCCCTCTATTTTCACTCCAAATGTAGCCACACATTTGACTTCTATTAACTGTAGTTGTTTGTAGCATGTCTGGGGAAATTTATCTAATTGGAATTGCACAGGATGTGTTATCTGTGCATTTGTTTGTGTGTTGTTTGTATTTATCACTCATTGTTTATAAAGTCATACATACTGCTACATGTGGTTGCAGCTCACTTATCTCTTTTTAGTGCTATTTCACAAATATACCGTGCATTATTTATTCTCCTGTTGAGGATTTTGCGTTGTATCTCTTAATGTCTAGTTCAAATAATTCTGTCTTAAATATACATTTCTTTCGATGCCTATGTACACAGATTTCTGCTAAGTATTTTCCTAGGAGTTGGGGTAGTGGATCACAAAATATGTGTATATCTTTGCCTTTGGTAGATAATGTCAACCAATTTTCTTAGATGTTTTTACCTGTTTACATTCCTAGTAGCGTATACAGAGTTTCTGCTGCTCCACCTCATCTCCACATTTGTCAGATTATTTTCATGTCAGCCATTTTACTGGGTGAGTTTTGTATTCTCATCTTGAATTCATTTCATGTTTAAATGAGGTTGAAGACCTTTCTGTATAATTCTTGGCTATTTTTATATCTTATGCAATAGCTATTCAAATCTGCTTGTTTTTCTATTCTGTTGTCTTTTCTCTCTTTTTTCTTTTCTTTCCATGGAAATTTAATCATTCACCTTGTGTTTTTCTTATTACTTAAAGTCTTATTTTCTGGACATAACCCATTTCTTGATATTTTTCTTCCTCATGGCTTGTTTTTGATTCCTCTGTGTCTTTTATGAATAGAAATTATTGATTTTAATTAAGTTCAATTTATCAATTTTTGCTTCTTGATTCTCTGTCATGTAGATAATTCCCTGTGTTATGTTTGTTCAATTGTTTACATTACATCTACAATCCATTTGGAATATATTCTTCATGATTGTTGCAAAGTAGGGATTAAAATTCATTTTACCCCCATTTTTGTTGTACTCATAAAATAAGTTTTGAAGTGTTCCCCTTTCTTTAATGTTTTTGGAAGAATTTAAGCAAGATAGACATTGAGTCTTCTTTAAGTGTTTGATAGTATTCTCTAGTGAAGACATCTGGTCTTGGGCTTTTTTTGTGTTAGGAGGTTTTGATTACTGATTCAATCTCCTTACCAGTCACAGGTTTATTCAGATTTTCCATTTCTTCATGATACAGGTCTTGGTAGGTTGTATGTTTTCCTTGGTAGGAATTTATTCATTTCTTCTAGGTTATCTTCATTGATATATAATTGTTTATAATAATCTCTTATAATCTTATAATCGTGGCATCAGTTGTAATGACTCTGCTTTCATTTCTGAGTTTGTGCCTCTTTTTTTCTTAGTTTAGCTAGGGGTTTGTCAATTTTGTTGATCTTTTGGAAAAATCAACTATGTTTTGTTGATTTTTCTTATTATTTTTATATTCTTCATTTCATTTATTTTTGCTCTAATCTTTATCATTTTCTTTCTTCTTCTTTGGGCCTAATTTATCCTTTTTTTTCTTTTTCCTTTTTTTTTTGTTGAGACAGTCTCTCGCTTTGTTGCCCAGGCTAGAGTGAGTGCCATGGCGTCAGCCTAGCTCACAGCAACCTCAAACTCCTGGGCTCAAGCAATCCTCCTGCCTCAGCCTCCCAAGTAGCTGGGACTACAGACATGTGCCACCATGCCCAGCTAATATTTTCTGTATATATATTAGTTGGCCATTAATTTCTTTCGTATTTATAGTAGAGACGGGTCTCGCTCTTGCTCAGGCTGGTTTCGAATCCTGGCTCGAGCAATCTGCCCGCCTCGGCCTCTCAGAGTGCTAGGATTACAGGCGTGAGCCACCGCACCCAGCTCATTGTGTTCTTTAATAAGATGGCTGTCGGCAGCGTGGGTGGCGCATGCCTGTAGTTCCAGCTATTGGGGAGGCTGAGGCAAGAGGATAGCTTGAGCCCAGGAGTTTGAGGTTGCTGTGTGAGCTAGGCTGACGCCAGGGCATCATCTGCCTGGGCACAAAGCGAGACTCTGTCTGAAAAAAAAAAGATGGCCATGAAGCTTATTGTTCAGTTAGTGTATCGTTTTTTTCTCTTTAGCTCTTTTTAAGCTTTTTTGTTTTTATTTTCAATAAATTTAGTATTACAGTCCCAGTTTTAGTTCACTTTGTTTTTATTTTGTTTGCAGTTTTTAAAGTTTTTTCTATTTATGGGTTGATATATTTTATCTGGTTAAGAAAAGACTTAGCAGTATGCATTCAAATATTGTTCTATTTCATATAATATTTTCTCTCTTCTTCTTCTGTGACTATAAGTACATGTGTGTTAAACCCTTTTACCATATCACTTTTGTCTTTTATATCCCATTTAAATTTTTAAATAACTTTTTCTCTTTTTTACATGAGCTATATTTTATTCTGACCCATCTTTTACTTTCTTTTCTCTTGTTACTCCAGTCCACTATCAAAATCATTAATTGGATTCTAAACCTCAATTGTGGCATTTTTCAGTTTTAGAATTTTATTTTTCTTTTTAAAATATATTTCTAACTTGGGTTCTGGCTAGTGTTATAAGAAACTTTCCTCCCGCAAGTTTCCACTTACTTGATCTTCAATTTAAAAACTGGATGTAACCTAAGAGATCATTATTTCTCTTAGTTTAATAATCAATTAGGGCCGGGCGCGTGGGTCACGCTGTAATCCTGCACTCTGGGAGCGGAAGCGGGGGGATGCTCGAGGTCAGGAGTTCGAAACCAGCCTGGCCTGAGTGAGACCCGCTCTACTATAATAGAAAGAAATTAATTGGCCAAATAATATATATAGAAAAAAATTAGCCGGCATGGTGCACCATGCCTGTAGTCCAGTACTCGGGAGGCTGAGGCAGGAGATCGCCTGAGCCAGGGTTTGAGGTTGCTGTGAGGCTAGGCTTGATGCCATGGCACTCACTCAGCCCTGGGCAACAAAAGCGAGACTGCTTCTCAAAAAAAACAAAAACAATTAGTCTGTAGCTTAGAGGCATAAAAAATTTGCTTGGAGTCATATGCCTTGAATTTAGCTCTGTTGTCCCTTTCTATTAAGTGAGCTCCTTTGACACTAAGGAAAGCATTATAGTTGCATGAAAAAATAATAATTAATTTAATTTTTTATTCTCTTAGGGGTACTTTAGAATTATTCTCATATTTTCTATTCAAAGAGGATATATAATATGGACATTTTAGCACAATCCTTTATAGGGCAGTTATGCCTTCTCCTCTGAACCATTATATTAATATTAATACAAGCAATGCTAAGATGTATACCATATGTACATGGTCTGCTTTCATAGGATAAATTAATTTTCATACAGAATTGTTTAGGGGTCAAGTAACATAGCTATTTAAATTATTTATACAGTTCATGACCAGCCTGAGTGAGACCCCCATCTCTAAAAGATATAAAATTATCTGAGTATGGTGGCACACATCTGAAGTCCCAGCTACTCGGGAGGCTGAGGCAGGAAGGTGACTTCAGCCCAGGAGCTTGAGGTTGTAGTGAGCTATTATCATACCACTACACTCTAGCCTGGGCAGCAGAGTGAGAACTTGTCTCCAAAAAAAGTTATATTTCACTGTGTAAATTACAATGCACACATTGTTAATACCACATTTTTAACTTGGCTTTCAAATACTTAATATTTACTTCTTTCAAAGGATATCTTTATGTGTTTTGTATGACATTCTGCCATAACTAATGGCATAATTTTGTACTTTCACATTATTCACTGTTTATAATAGAAAGTAGGAAACATTGGTTGATGTTATTTTCAAAACATTTGTTATCAATTTCTTGATTTTTTTACTATTGTGTACGAAATTATTTTTAAAATTATTACTATGAATAACTATCAGGCAAGTAATCTTGAAACTAATTAATGTTTAAATGATCTGAACATTAAGGGGAAGTCATGATAGCAGAGATAATAAGATTCTTACAAAACATGAAGGAAAAGGGAAATATGCTTTTAAAGACTATATCAGAAATAATTATATGACAATATCATATTTCTTTGCATTACAAGTTTGAATACTTGTAGAAATCACTACAAATCTAGAAATCACTAGAAATCAAGTGAATCTCAACTGACTTTGCATTTTCTGGTAATTTCTTATTTCTTTTCAAGCTATATTTTAAGTGTAAAAGTATCTAGTAATAGAATTATTGATCGTTCGGTCCCTCTTGCCTTTACAGGCAAGGAGGATTTTGTAATAATTTAAGGAATCCTACGGACTATATACACAAGCAGAATGCTAACTATTGCTTCAATTAAAAAGTTGGTGACATTTTCTTTTGACCATATTTATTGAGTTTTGCTGTATTTATTAAGTCAAGTCCAAATAATACCATATAGTAAACAGCTGGAGGATTGAAAAGTAATGAAACTAATATAGAAGTAGCCCTGTTAAAGTAATATTCTTTTAAATATGATTACTTTTACTGGAACTTAACCATTTTGTGGAAAAGTACATTTGACTTACTACACAAGGATATCTGATTTCAAAATTT